GCCTCGAGCATAGGATGTAGATTACTTTCTTACAGCAAAAATTTACATTGTCTCACTTTTTAATGTTCAAATGAGTTAAAAAATAAAATATGTCTTTCATTGGATAAATCTGAATGAGGGATAGTATATGTGTTATGTGTATTTGTGAACTTTGGTCAGAGCATTAAATGTAAACAAAAGCCATACGTCTAGAAACACACCTAGGAAATATTGCTGATGAATGCTCTGAAACCTTCTGTAACATTATAGGCTGGACTTAAAAAATAGAAGTACAGAAGAAGAACTGAAGGAAAGGGCCAATAAATACCACAATGTTTACTTTCTGTATTGCCCAAATTTTCTTCAATGAACATCAATAACTTTAAAAATTGGAAATTATTACTTTAAAAAACTTGTAGAATAAAATTCAACCTAAAACAAGGTCATCTTGGACCTTGTCTAAGGGAAGTTAGCTATTAAAATATCATGACATATTTGGTCCTTATATTACCTCCAGAAGGTAGAGTTAAGGAATTTCATTTCCTAATGAAAATGTAATATTATCATACTTTCTTTACCTCTTATATATTAAAAATAAAAAGTACACTTACAGATTTAACCAACAAGGAGTAAAACATATCCAGATATTTCTTTTGCCAGTGTCAAAGCTTCATGATTGAGGATTCATGCTGCCATCACTGAACAAAATCATTAAAATGGTTTGAAGTCTTAAATAAGTAGGAAGATTCCACAGTGATTTCTGGCTGTTAAGAAAGGGACAAAAAAAAAAATACATGGAGGTGATGATACCATACAATAGAAAATACTATCAAATCACTCATGCAATTTTAGTTTATTAAAAGTTAATTCAACACATTTTCACTTAAGTAGAAATTACTGATATTAGTAAAGCTATAGAATCTCAAGCTTATAATGAGTTTTTCAATATAAATTTGCTAATGTATTGGAGAAATCATTTTAAAGCACCCTGTTTTATAAGAGGATTGTAGTAAATCTTGCTTTAATAATTTTCTTATTGGTGAAAATTCTGGACGACAAATAGCACTGTACACACTTGACAAACAAAACCTTTGTTATTTTTACCTCTAGAAAATTTTTTATATGACACATAATTGTACATGTATTATAAGTATACATCAGGCATTGTTTTGATACATGTAATGTATAAGTGATAACATTAAAATTTTTGAAGAATAAATAAGTATATATATATGTTCTTAAAGACTTATGTTCTTGTCTTTTAATATCTGATGACTAAAACGTATAAATTTATCTTCTACAATTATTATGATTTTTAGATTAATAAAATAATCAAATGACTATGCTAATCACAATCCACTGCAATCTCATGTCTTCAGTTATAAATAACTGAAAGAAGAATAATAAGCAATAGAAATCTCATTATTTTATTAAAATAAAGATTTGGGGTAATCATTTTTCTGTGGATCCCTTGTGCTATGCACATTAAAGTAAAATTTCTTGGCCTTTTTCTCCTGAATCTGTCTTTTTGTCAGATGATTTTCAGTAACTTCAGAGGGTTAAAGGAGAATTCTCTAGCCCCGTATGTCATCTGTTTATCTTAGAAATACATTCCTCTTCTACTTCTCTCCAACTCAGAAAAGGCCTAAAATTCTATTTTCTCTTAGTAGTATTGGACTCCTTCTACATTGAAGTATATCCCCTCCTTTATATATATTGAGTACGATCTTATTGAAGCTGCAGAAACATTGAGGTGAAGACATAACACCCATGCTCATATAAACGTTCTAGTCTAAGAATACAGAAGTGTTCAAGAGATTGTTATGCTGTGCTGAATAATAAAGGAAATTAAGATACCTTTCCCTGCCCTGCAAAGAGGTCGATAGTTGTAGGGAGGAGAGCAGATAGGTATACCAAACTGCTGTGAATCATGAAACAATCTATGTATGGAAATAAGAAATCTATTGGCTCAAAATTAAACAGAGCTTAAAAAACAAATGTTTGGAGATTGATTACCTTGAGAGCGGGGCTGTGAAAGGACTAAATCCTTGACAGGCGATATGTGGTACTTGGATGCCAGGGGATTCCAGAATACAGGAACATCATGAGGATGGGCAGAGAGCTGTTAAGGCCGTACATTCATATATGGGGAATATGAAGGGAAAGATGCCATTACTAGGCCAAGCAAAGAAGCAAATTGTGGATGTATGATCCAGATGGGTAATGCCTTTAACATAAATTTCTAGCTCTTGGAATCACTGAGAAGATTTTTGAGTCAGATAGTGATTAATTAGGCATTTTCAGAAGACAATGTGAATATTGTTTGAGAAAAAAGATAAGACCCTAGATGGACCTCCCTCTTTTCTGTATCTTCAGGAAAGGAAAGAACCTAAGGAAGTTATATAGTTTAAAGGAAGTTAAATTTAGAAACTCAGATCTAGGAATTAATTAGCTAGTAGTGAATGGTGAATATGAGTATTGATTAAAAAATCCAAAATAGAACACAGTAAAAGAATTTAAAGGTTGAAGATGTATATCTAGAGATAAATGAGACAGGTGGTCAGAGGGTTGAAAGAGTCTCTTAGTGAATAACTCCAAAAGCCAGAAGAGAGAATTAAGAAGAATGGTACAGACAACAGTTTGATTGCTATTGAGAAGCCAAGAACCAGTTATCTTAAAAAAATCCAAACCTGCTTCCTAAAAATATTCTAAGTGTGATATAACTGCTTATGCAGTTAATTATTATATATTTCAGACTTAAGCACTTATTTTTTTTTTTGAGAAGAGTCTTCACTTTGTTGCCCGGGCTAGAGTGAGTGCGTCGGCGTCAAGCCTAGCTCACAGCAACTCAAACTCCTGGCTCGAGTGATCTTCTGCCTCAGCCTCCCGGGGTACTGGGATACCAGGCATGCGCCACCGGAGGTGGGCCCGTTAATTTTTATATATATATCATTGGCCAATTTAATTCTTCTATTTTATATAGAGACGGGTGGTGATCTACTTTCCTTCCCCTTCCAGATGAAGGAACTAAAATCTTTCTAAAGTCTGTTTAATTTTTATTATAATTGTTCAGTATTTAGTTGAATATCACAAATCAAAATATTATAAACTCAAATATAAACTGTCACAATGCTTATCACATCTGCTTTAACTGTAAACAGATTTTGATAGATAAGTTTGCCCAAAGTTTCTCAGGCTTAAAGAAGGTAATCTTAAAGAAAAATATTACATTCTAATTTTTTCAGATTCTATCAGATAGGCCAAGATAGAAAAGATAGAAGAGTAAAATGATATAAATCTTTGGTAGGACAATACAAAAATGTTATCAGAAGCCTCAAAAATGAGTATACTGTTTAGATTAGCAATTCAATTCTATTCTATTCTAATAGAAATTTACCCTAAGTATCTAACCATGAACACACCCAAAGATTATCTACAAGGATGTTCCCTGAATTAAAAAACAAAAAACTAAAGACAACTTAAATATCTATCAAGAGGAAATTTGTTAAATTATATTTCTTAATGAAAATACCCTTACTATAAGAAGACATACACAGAGAATTTTTTTAAGTCTGGGGAAAATATATTTCCAAATTTAAACTTGGTTAGAGAAGTTATGGTTGACTATAATTTTCTTCTTTATAGTTTCCTGTATTATCTGAAGAAAAGGCTAAAGACTTATAATAAGTCTAAAAATACTACACTATGTACATGCTAAGGGATATTTACTTAATAACATGTCATTAAAGACAAAAATGTTATATTAATAAATAATTTAGAAAACTACATCATAAACACATTAACTCAATGATTTGATTAATTATAACCCGTGACTTTAAGAGGGAGAGAAAAGGGACAGAACTAAGGTCACAAAAAGACTTAATAAAAACCACAGTCATTCATTTGAACCTAAAATATAATGTCCTTTAGATCATCATGACAAAGAATGCAAGAGGATATTCACTCAGCATTTATAGCTGATAATAGTGCTCCTATGTCACTCTAGAAATGTAAAAAAAGTATCAATTTAGAATATTCTAGCTATGTTCAGTATAAACAGAGAACTGAAATCAAGTAATCCAGATTACAACTGTTGTGTCCTTGAATACAGTGATTCTCCACAAAACAATGTTTCAGTCAGTGACAGACTGCATATACAACAGTGATCTCATAAGATTATAATGCCTTATTTTTACTGTACCTTTTCTGTGTTAAGATATGTTTAACTACACAGATATTTACCATTATGTTCAAATTGCTCACAGTTTTCAGTACGGTAATGCTATACAGGGTTGTAGCCTAGGACCAATAGGCTATACCATACAGCCTAGCTGTATAGTAGACTATGCCATCTAGGTTTGTGTAAGTATACTCTATGATGTTGGCACAACAGAATTGCCTAATGACACATTTCTCAGAACGTATCCCTGTGGTTAAGTGATGTATTTATTACAGTACAACCAAAACATTAGAAAAGGCCTTTCATAAGACAGTATTTTGTTCTAAAACTGTATAAATAATAAGAATAGTAGCTAGTGTTTGTTGAATGTTTACCATTGTTTAAACATTGTACATAAAGCACTGTACATCTCGTGTCTCATTTAGTCCCAATAACTATCTGCAGCAGGTGCTACTATGACCTAATACATATTGCACATGTGCAAAGTAAAGAACAGAGAAGTGAACATATAGGCAGTAAGAAATAAATCAAGGATTTGAAGCCAAGCAGTCTGATTTTCTGGAATCTGTGTGCTTCATAACAAGCATTACTCTAGATTAAGTACTTTAACTGGACTTCAGCCACACTGGTCTCAGTAAGACATGTAAACTTTTAGCAGTAGAGTAGAAATGCTGTATGCATAATGAGTGACCAATAAAACAGAGCAACCCAATGAATCTTCAGCTCATAGGACATCATTCTTGTGCCGGCAAAGGCTAGAAAATTGTATACTAACATATACTATCTTCAGCTTATCTAGATTTTGTTTCAAATGGCATCCTTAATTATAAAATATACTCACAAATGTTCCCAATAATGCATTTGTTATTATTTGAACTATGTCTTGCGCATGAGTGCTAGCTAGTAGAATGCTCTCTATCTTGCCTTCTTCATGTCTGGCAAGCAGCAGGGCTGGAAGAGTTGCAGCATATTTATTTGACCTATTGAGAAATGTAGTATTAAAATTCCCAACCAAAATGTAACAAGTAATCAAAAACATGAAAATTTAGGCCAGGAGGTCACAGTAGGAGACAGCAAGTAGGAAGCCCTACTGGTAAGGAAAAAATGAGCTAAATCTCCAGACAAACTATTATCTTCTATATGAGGCTCTCTGAGAAAGTTCAAGAGCCTTGACAACCAAGATTAAAAGAAAGTAACAGATAATCTAGCCAGATTTTTTTTCCTATACAATTTATTCATCCCAAAATGTCTAAATAGGATTTGGAACACGCTGAATGGTTCTCAACCTTTTTGGACTGCCCAGTACATTGCTGAATAAGGAGATGGCCATTTATGAGAAACCTACTATCTATCAGACACTCCACTAGGTATTTTAGTTGTATTTTTATTTAACCCTCAGAACGGTCCTATAAAGTAGGCATTTTAACCCCATTTTAGATGAGGAAACAAGACTTAGAGACTGATAAACAGCAGACACAGACTTCAAATGAGGGGCTCCTGACATAAAGTCTGTGCTCTCTGCACTGAAACAAGGACCCATATCCACCCAAAACTGCGTTTGCTAATTAAACCTAAAAGAAAATTCTCTAAATTAAATAGGTAAAATGCTTTGTGTGAAATTACTAGTGAGGTAGTCGTATGTAATAATTTAATTCATGCCAGAGCAAAGTATAGACATTACAATATTATATGCATTAGGAGAAAGCCCAGTCTTCAGATCACCTAGAGAAGCCTCTTAGTAGACCAGGCGGTCAACTAAGGTGAATGTGTTATAAACAACACATTCTGAAAACTACTGGTCTACCTCTTTGGACCATAGCTAAATGCACAATGAGAGATTAGAAGACAGTGGTGATTATCCATTGTCAGATGGATTAGTCTTCCTAGTTCAGTATTTACTTTTCAAAAGTCCTTAATTTCACAAATAGAACACAAGCTTGATCACCAAGATTATATGTCACTAGTGTTCAAGATGAAAGAGTTAAGCTTAGAAATCACAATTGAGAATATTATAGTTAGAAGGTAAGAAAGATAAACTATTTGGGCTTAGTCCACTTGCACCTGAAAATGGCCATTAGTGTAGAATGTCATTTGTATTAATAATAAAATCTCCAAATTTGTAGTTCAGTCCTTCATTCTGTAACAACTAAAACATTTTGCTATATCATAGAAGCTCTGTCTTCTACAGATAAAGCAATTTAAGTGGTTAAAAAAACTCAAGATGCTCAAGAAGTAAAATTCTCCAAAAACTATGACAACTCCAAAGAACCAAAATTATAGGTAACAGAACCCAAAGAGAAAAAATTTTATAAGAAAATGATTTAGTATAAATCCAGGATCGCCCGTGGGGGCTTTGGCCTAAAGTAAAAAAATATCTAAAGAATCTAAATAGTCTGCTACTTTCCAGAAGGAAATTAAAAATGTATTTATGTGGCTGTGCTATCTTCCTTCATCAGCTGTTTAAAGACAAGCAATGCATTGTTTTGCCTAACTTCTTCCATCCTAAAATTAGAAGAACAAAAAACTTACAATATCAAAACATCTTCTTCAGAATAAATTCCAGTGATAACATATCCTTTTAGATGGTTTCCTGCTTCAGTGAAATCTTCTTTTGCTATAAATACACAGACAAGACAAAAATCTGAAACCTTTAAAATAATGTATGCGATTCAATTGATGAAGAGATTAATATAGATGCTAGTTTTTCATTATTAATTACAAAGATAAATATTTAAGTGCAGGCCTCATATAACTTAGTTCTGAAATAAATCTGTGTCCATTTTATGACATTTGATTACTCAAGAAATGTAAATTGATATTGTGAAACTGTGGTTTCCTAAACAGATGTACTCTAAATGTAATTTATAAGATTCATAGCACTCTAATCATACAGAGTTACTGAATAAATATTTGTTGGCTTTTAATTTCTCCTATGACAGGGTAAATGGAGACAGCTAACACATAACTCAACACCAGAAACACAATGTGTACTTAAAATCACAAAATCTAAAAGTGCCTATATGCATAAAAAAATAGAAGACTGGAAATTCCAGTCCTCTAACAGTGTCTGTTTTATGATTGTGCAATTATGATGGATTTTATTTTTTATTTCTTGCATTTTCAGTAATGTGTTTTCATTACCTCTGAACTTTGAATAATTTGTATTGATACAAATTAATGACAAATCTAGTGACCCATGATGATACCAAATTTAGATCACAAAAGATATAAAAGTAGCAGGGCATTTCAAAAATTAACAGATAATCTCTTGAGTAAAATGTTGACATAAAAGTTATAAGATATATTTCAAAATATATAGTTTATGGTATTCATATGTTTTTGGTCCTTTGTTAGGATATACATATTCAAAATAAAAACTTATTTCTGTAGATATCTAAATACATTTTCATAAATAAATAGCATATTCTGGATTATGTTAAAAACTATTTTATAACGCAGAAGCAAGTTTGGATTAAATCACTGTAGACTAATGAAAAAAAAAGCAGAGGTGGACTTATAGGGAAATAATGTATTCTTGCCAAGTGAAGGCCCAATGGTAGCTCAGCTCATGTATGAACAATTTACAGTAACTCAAATGGAAAAACATTGGTGGAAGAATTGAGTCATAAAGCACCTAGTCGGCTAGGCATGCTGAACCCAAAGTTCCATACCTTAGAAGTCAGCCCTATATTCATAATGTAAATATTCAACACTTTAACACTGGGTAACCACAGGATTATTTTCTTTAAAAAGGGTACATACTTTCCATAAGATTGAGAAACACTGTCTGCAGGAAAGCAAACTTACTAGAGTGGCTCAGTCAACCAGTAAGCAGCACTGGGAGCTGCTTGTGTTACACAAAAGTAGAAAAGACTCATAAGAAAATAGCAATTAGAAAGGACTATGTGCCTATACTTTCATTTCTAAGAGAAATGAAGATGTTGAGTTAAATTCTGCTCAACAGATGATCTTACCTAAAGCAATGATATAATAGAATTGGTTTCAGTTTCTTCTGATTTCTTTTTAGATAAGTAATAGTAGAAAAATACTATTTAATATAATATTTCCATATAATTTCCCAATACAGAAGACTATTTACTCATGAATATCTCTCTTAAAAAGTCTCTTTCTGAATCTACTTGTTCATAAATCTTAAGTAACTCGTGGCATGGGACAGTATAAGACTGCAGATCTCAGGTGCATATCTATTTCCACTAAATTAAAGTGTATATTTTCCTCTGAACATTCAAAACCAGGCATATTCTCCCCCTTGGTGAACATTTTATATCTATGTCAGAATACATAGCAGCCTTAAATATAAGAAAATACTCAAGTATCTAAGTAAAAAGATACATAAAAAGCTCTTCTGGCTACTAGAAATATATTTGGGACATAGATATTATACAAATGATAACTTATTAGTTTAACTATAAATATATTTTAATTGCATAAAATACATTTACAGAATCTTTGAAAGTTGTACAAGTTATCCAAAGATCTAGCTATGATCATGATAAAGATGGCTGCACTAAAAACAGTGCAGACGAAACAACAGTGCAGATCTTCAGTGCAGACGAAACAGCCTACTATAGGAAGAAGATGCCATCTAGGACTTTTCACAGGAAAATAAACGCCTGGCTTCAAAGGTGAAAGACACATGGTGAAGCAATGATATTCATTGACCATCCAAAAATTCTAGGGCCTCAAGAATTATGCTCAGTTTACTCTGCCTGTGCCTGAAAGACGAGCAGAACAACAAAAGCCTGATGAAAGCACATTTATAGAAAAAAAAATTCTTTCAAAATATAACTGCTCATTGACAGTGTACCTAGTCACCAAGAGCTCTGATGGAGATGTACAAGATTAATGTTGTCACGCCTGCTACACACAACATCCATTCTGTAGCCCATAGATCACGGAGTAATTTGACTTTCAACTTTTATTATTTAAAATACATTTCATAAGGCTATAGCTAATAGATAGTGATTCCTCTGATGAATCTGAGCAATGTAAATTGAAAACCTTCTGGAAAGATTCTCCATTTCAGATGACATGAAGAACATTTGTGACATGTGAGGAGGTCAAAATATCAACATTAACAGGATTTGAAAGAAGTTTATTCTAACCCTCATGGATGACTTTGAGAGGTTCAAAACCTCAGTGAAGAAGTAAGTGGAGATGGGTAGAAATAGCAAGAGAACTAGAATTAGAACTGGAGACTGAAGATGTGACTGAATTGCTGCAATCTCATGATCAAACTTTAATGGTTGTGAAGTTGCTTCTATGGATAAGCAAGAAAAATGGATTAGCCAAGACAGATATTACTGTGTCAAGAGACTGTGAACATTGCTGAAATGACAATAAAGGATTTAGAATATTACATAAACTTAGTTGATAAAGCAGCAGCAGGGTTTTGAGAAAACTGACCCCAATTTTGAGAGAAGTTCTATTGTGGGTAAAATGCTATCAAACAGCATCACATGTACAAAGAAATCTTCACGAAAGGAAGAGTCAATGTGGCAAAGTTCATTGTTGTCTTAAGAAACTGCCACAGTCACCCCAACCTCAGCAACCACCACCCTAAATTAGTCAGCAGCATCACACATGAGGCAAGTCCTCCACCAGCAAAAGATTATAAACATCATGAAGGCTCAGATATTGTTAGCAGTTTTAGCAATAAAATATTTTTTACTTAGTATATACTTTTAGACATAATGCTATTGCATTTAGTAGACTACTGCATAGTATAACAATAATTTTATATGTACTGGGAAACCAAAAAAATTAATGTACTTTCTTCAATGTAGTATGGTCTCAAACCTAATCTACAATATCTCTGGAGTATGCCTGTATTAAGAAAACAGAGTTTTATATAATAATAATGATTATTATAAAATATTGTCACTTTCTTACAAAACTACATATTTGCTTACAGTTATAGAAAGAAAACAAACTGGCATTTATATGGAAAAGCTATATAAGAACTATCTTGTGAAATCTACAATTTTAAGTTTTATAAAAATAGCATAAAGGACTTATGCTTCAGTAGAGCAATGCTCCCATTGTAACAATTTTTTTAACTATATAAATTACTAAAATTGTATGTTTGAAGACATTGGCAAGCTATACAAGCAACATGGACTTAGTAAACTGAAATTCAAGAGATGAAAGAGGCCTTCATAGGTGAGCCAGCTGTCCTAGATTAAGGCTTTGCACCTTTGGCCTTATAATCAAATACTGCCACAAACAATGCATCAGCTATTATTATTGAGGATACTTAGAAATGTACAATTCAGCTCACTCTAGCATTCATTAGCTTCATTTAAAGTTTAAATTTATGGATCAAAATGCAGAACCATATGTATTGAACAAATAGAAAACTTACTGATAGGATTTTCTAGTCCCGCTTCTAATTTCTAAGCCATGATATAAGGTTTAGTTCAGTTATAGCTGGTCTGAAGGAAATGCATATACTTGGCCACCTGAATGCAGATTCACCAAAACAAGAACAGGAAGGGAGGCACAAGGTCAAAATATGCCTGCAAGATTCCTCTCCCACAGGAGTATTCTTTCTATAAAAGGGAACAAATGAACGGTATGTAATTAATGTTCTTTCTATAAAAAATGAAAATAGTTTATAGAACATTAACTTTAAATAGTATATACCAGTAAGTTTAGTTTATGAAAGATGTTCCCAAAACCAAGAAGTCTATAATGATGTGACTAGAAATCAGATTCTTTAAAAGTTTCTTTATTATTAGGGGCATTCTCTTTCTCTTAGGAGAAAAAAGGCAGCCAATGGACAGTTTTAATGAAAATCAGGCATAGCCCAAGCACTTGTCAATTGAGGCTTGAGGCAATCAATAGTTTCCTCCCAAAGTTTAGTCAAGTATCTGATCATATGTCAGCTCAAAATTAAACAGTTATATAACTATAAGATAATAAGATTTTTACAAATCCTTCTTTTCCAAATAAAATTGTGCCTTTCTCAGGAAAAAAGGAGAAAGGGTTAATTTCAATTAAAGAAGTGAAAAATTAATTATGTTCACATGAAACCGTATGTTAAAGATACCTAGTTTTCCTAATGCACATTCCATGTTTTGTAAAATATTATTTTACTCTTCGATACCTACAGTGATAATTACCTGGAAAATTTTGCCTCGAGCAGTAGGATGTACTATTAAACTCTTTACAGCAAAAATTTACATTGTCTCACTTTTGTAATGTTTCAAATGAGTTAAAAAATAAAATATGTCTTTCATTTGATAAATCTGAATGAGGGATAGTATATGTGTTTATGTGTATTTGTGAACTTTGGTCAGAGACATTAAATGTAACACAAGCCATACGTCTAGAAACACACTAGAAATATTGCTGATGAATGCTCTGAAAACCTTCTGTAACATATAGGCTGGACTTTAAAATATAGAAGTACAGAAGAAGGAACTGAAGAAAAGGCCAAAATACCACAATGTTTACTTTTCTGTATTTGGCAAATTTTCTTCAATGAACATCAATAACTTTTAAAATTGGAAAAATATTACTTAAAAACTTGTAGAATAAAATTCAACCTAAAACAAGGTCATCTTGGACCTTGTCTAAGGGAAGTTAGCTATTAAAATATCATGACATATTTGGTCCTATATTACCTCCAAGTAGAGTTAGAGAATTTCATTTCCTAATGAAATGTAATATTATCTACTTCTTTACCTCTTATATATTAAAAATAAAAAGTACACTTACAGATTTAACAACAAGGAGTAAACATATCCAGATATTTCTGTTTGCCAGTGTC